AAGGGGGTTCATCGCGTTCTGAAGCACGTCAATCGCAACAGAAACTTTCTGCTGTACAAGAGAATGTACTTCTTAAGTGGATAAAGCAATTGACAATTAGCGGCTATTCACCAGGCCATCAGTTGTTAAAAGAATTGGCTGAGGAGTTACGTTCAAAACGGACTTATAATTTGGAATGCCCCTCATTTGACTCCCTTGAACTCCCACCACAACACCTTCTTGGTCATGAATGGGTTCCACGATTTATCAAACGACATCCTCATCTTACAGTTGTTATTGGCCGTCGAATTGAATCTGTAAGAATGGATGGTGCAACCAGGGAAACATGTAGTACTTGGTTTGACGCGTATCAAAAAGCGATTCAGGATTATGGAATTGAGAAGAAAGACGAATATAATATGGATGAATCTGGACATTCAATTGGGACAATGGAATCAACTCGAATTATTATCGATTCTACACTTCGTACAAAACATCAAGCACATCCAGGCCGTCAAGAGTGGATTTCAATGGTAGAGTGTATTTGTGCGGATGGATCCATTCTTCCACCACTCGGGATTTTTAAAGGTAAAAATGTCCTTCAAAATTGGATTCCGAAGGAAGTTCTTGGTAGCTGGTTCTTTTCAGCAAATACAAAGGGCTGGACAAGCAATCTTCATGGATTAGAATGGCTAAAACGCGTTTTCGAACCTGCAACTCGTGCAAAAGCAGGTGGCAAATATCGGCTTCTCATCTGCGATGGCCACGATTCTCATATTAGTGGAAGCTTTATAGCTCACTGCCTTCAAAATCGAATTGTACTTCTTATACTTCCTCCTCATACCTCGCATTTGCTTCAGCCACTTGATGTTGCGGTTTTCGGTCCATTGAAAAAACGGCTCACCGCAGCACTTTCTGATTTGAATCAAGCTCAACTTGTACGAATACAAAAGATTGAATGGATGGAGGCATATATTAAAGCTCGAGCCGACGTATGCCATCATCAAAATATCGAATCGGCATGGCGGGGAGCTGGGTTACATCCATTTAATCCACAGAGAGTGTTCCGTACACTGGGTCGAGAGTTTACCCCCGAAGTCGAAATATCCAAAGAACCAACCCAATTTGATATTTTTAACCAAGTCTTCGTCAATAGCTCACCCCCGGATGTAGCAATCTTACAAACAGCAAATAACCTTTTAAATTCAACAATTGAAAATGATACGACTCTTTCAACCCCGGTTCGTCAATACATTCGAAAATTGACGATTGGGAGTGAGCAACTTCGAGCTCAAAGTATTGTTCACCAACACGATGCGAATAATTTACGAGCTATTATTAAGAAACGTACGATACGTAAGAAAGGAAAGAGACTAGTTTTGAAGGGTCATTTTCATATTTCTACGCAAGAATTATGTGATGCAGTAGTGGAAGTCGAAAAAGCTACTAAGGTACAGACAATGAAAAAAGGAAAAGGGAAAGGGAAAGTAATTGAATATGAAACTGAAACTGAAGAGGATATTGGAGAAGAAGTTGAAGATGAATCTGAAAGTGATACTGGAGATTGTATTATAGTTGATTGTTGAGTAATTGAGATTTTAATAGAGTGGTTCCCCGCAATTAGACGCATTACGCCATTAGACGCATTACGCCATGACTTACGTTATCTATCTAAAATCTATCAAGATCTTATGAGTTGAGAGATTTAGAAGTTCTCTCTCGTGTTATTAGGATGATATTAATCCGCGGATATCTGAAATACTTTTAAATATATAGAAAGAGAGAGAGAGAGATTGGCGTATCAATCTCACGACCTTGGATTGTGGTATTTTTCATCTTAGCATATATGGATCTTACTATGTATACATGAATGAGCCCCGCTAGGTATTTACTCCAGACTGCTCCATATCTCAAACTCCTCATCGACGCTTTATTACTCTCAGACTAGGTTATCGTTGGCATCAACTTCGCTGTCGGTATCTTTACTATTTACTACCTCCTGAGAAATGTACATATAGCTAGCCAGTACCATATCGTTTCACTCCACGTTCTGACGCACTACTTCCTCCCTCCTTTTATTTTCTACGAAAAAGAATTCTCAAGTTTTACGATAAGACGTAGGTATAATCATGTAATATTCACAATCCCTATCCAATCTTAGAAAGTACACTTCAGAACATCTTGATCTTAATCCCGTTAGCTTTGAGACGTGTCTAGTAGTGGAAGCATTGAGCATTAAATTGCTGTATTCACGGTTATTTGAGTTGTTCGCGTCATTATTTTTGACATGCGAACCAATTACCTTTCTATTTTATTATCCTGTACGACATCTAACGTGGTTTATCATCATGCGGCCCATATCATCATGCGGCCCACTTTCACCTCAATTTGTATTTTTAAATCCATATTACTCAACAACAATTGATTCAATTGATTAAAACTATTAAGAATCTAATAATCTAGGATCTATTATATCGTTTTGACAAGTTCTTGAATTATGACCTGGTTTTCCACACTTACTACAGCATCTATTAGAAGATACTTCCCCATTAGGATTCCTCCCTTTTTGACGCTCGTCGCGTTGAATCTGAACATCAACCTCTTGCTGAGATAATATATCAAGAGCCTCTTGTCCAGTAAGTACTCCTCCTTGACGCAATTGGGTTTTTTTCGCACGTCGACGCTTGCTTAATGCCTCATTTGCTGCCCGAAGTGTACGGATCTCTGCACTTAAAAGTGTATTCTCATGAGCTAATCTCTCTGTGCCTTTAGCTAGAGCTAGTACAGTCTCAAATATAGGTGTAGGAGAGCTTGATTGATGACGATTGATTCAAGATTTAACTAATGTTTATTGAGAAAGAGCTTCTGTAGGATTGTGAGGAGTTTGAGAGGTCCAGAGGTCTAAATTGACAAAAGGAGGAGGACTAGGTGTATGTATTCGAATATCTAATTTTGAGAGTACTATTTCAGGATCAAAGGGGACTAATCCTGTTCCTCGGAATCCAGATTTCATATTCTGATTCGTGATCGATCGTTGATATGCAGCTTTGAAAGCTATAAAGAATTCGACCTTTGAGATATGATTGATATGTGCCCTTATAAACCCCTCAATTTGAGTACCATATTCTTGTTTTAACCTATTAAAACATCCGACATCAAGTGGTTGAGTTAAATGACTTGAATGCGGTGGTAGGCATACGCATATAATATCATTCTCCTTGCAATATGATTGAAAAGGTATGGATTCGTGGCTTTCGTGTCCGTCTAGCACCAACATTCGGTATTTGCCTACTCTGCAATCCTTTGTATGTTTATCGAAGTGTTTTAACCATTCCAATCCTGTCTCATTGTTCGTCCACCCATTGCTAGTAGGTTTAATAGCCCAATCTGCAGGAAGATCGGTTTCCGTATACCAATTGGAAAGATGCACCTGTCCTTGAACCACCAGGAATGGAGGTATGATTTCCCCTACACTACTACCGCATATGATCGCTGTCGCCCATTCCCTATTGCCTGGTTGTACTGCTTTACTCCTACCACTCCTCCCAGCACTAGTAACTACCATACCAGCATTTATAACTCCCATCATAAAGCCTGTTTCGTCGAAATTCCACATATCGCAATCTTGTATACCAAATTTCGCTCGCATATTCGATATAAGACGAAACCACTTTCGAATAAACTCAGGATCCTCGCACAAAGCTCTTTGAAAGTCATAAACACGACTAAAACGCGTCTTTAATTCTTTGTGACGCTTTACGAATCGATGCGCCCAGAGCTTTCCAACCGCTTTTCCACCTCTCGATTCAAGAATATGATTCGCCATATCTTCCACCCCTTTAAGTTTAGGTGGAAAACCTCTCGAATCCATATCAAGAATATATTGAATAATGATCTCTTCTTCTAATTCTGTAAGTTTATGGGTTTTATGTCGATATTCTGTACGAGGGGTAAAACCGTCTATTCTACGCCGTAGTGTTGTACGTGGTATATTATACATCGTAGCAACCTTTCTAACACTTAGTTTTTTGTCTTTATGAATAGCATCGATAGCTAGGAGTATACGGGCTTCTTCATTATTCGAATGCATCGTGGGTTGTTGATAAAACGCGTGTTGAAATAAAAGGGTGCAAATTGAGGTGAAAGTGGGCCGCATGATGATATGGGCCGCATGATGATAAACCACGTTATTTGTACAAGTCTATTGAAAAACTTGACTGTGAAATTTCTCTAATGTTAGTGAAGATATCTCCGTACTTCTTAGTTTCGATAGAAATAGAGTATCGTTCGCGGCCTCGAGCGGTAATCTCCAAGATTATATTGACTGTTCTAAAGATATCAACAAAGACAAATCATGCAAGTTTATTGATAGCTAAGTTAAGATGAGCTTTAGGAACCTCACTTCTATCTTGCAACGTAATACTTGGGGGATAATGAATTACTTACGGATTATTTTCAAGAAGACGACTCGTACGGGATGAAGTGAGAGGTGACGATGTTAACAGATGAGGAATGAGGAGAAGTAACGAGAAAAGAGATGTATTCAGATTATGGGGGAAGGAAATTGATGACTGATATTGAAACGGCTTCTCAAATGGGGATCTAGATACACGCCTCCAAAAGTTCCCCAATTCGCAGGAGCAAGTCAACAACACAATGTTCTTTGTTTATACAAGGCGTTGTTCATCAAGTCCAAAGACAGCATTAGCATTGAGCAAAAGGCATCACAAAGAGTTTGCACAAAGGAAAATCACAGACAGACATGGAAGAAATTTTAGGTTTAATATTTTTATAAAAAAAAAAAGTACAGTACAATCCGAGCAAATAAAAGAACAAAAGAAATCCTGTCGAGGAAAGTGTAATTACGCTAATCAGAAACAAAAGAAACTCTACCGACGGGCAACTCGAGAGCCAAGCTCAATGAGAACCAGTCTCAAAGATTTAGCTTCTCAGAAATTACTTACTGATTGATTCTGGAGGTCGAGAAGAGGAAGTCGGTAAGATAAAGACAAAGAAAGAGCTCACTGAGCTTGCATTGTCTTCTTACGTTCCAACTCCGCTTCAATCTCCTCGAACACATCTTCTGGGATTTCAGGAAAGTCAGTACCATAGAAGATAGAGAGCATTTCTTCTTCCTTTTCCTTGGCCCAAACTTGATGCATCAAATCAGGAATTGCAAGCTCATCAGTCACTGGAGCATGAGCCTCTTCAACCTCTCCTTTTTTCACCAAGGAATACCACTTGTTTTTACAAGCTTTAACGGTGTATATGCGACCGGGCCAAGGATCGGATGCAAAGAGGTCGCCTCCTTCCAGGTGTCTGGCTTGTTCGATTGTCATGGTAACCGCGATGTAAACCCATTTGGAAAACTTGTTTTCGAGTAAATGGTCGCGTACCACTTGGGTGAATTTAGCGATTTCGCTCTCATTGTAATTTGGTGCCATTTTTGCGGTGGTTGATAAAGTTGTTGATCTTTTGAGAGATTGCTTGGAAATGTTGTGTAGATGATTGTTTGTAATGTTGTAAGATAGATAGTTGTAATATGAAGTTATTGCTGAAGAATAAAACTTTTTATCTCATCGATAATCGCATCACAATTATAGATTTTCCAGACACATTGTTCTGGTGTTGTTCCACCCAAAACTTCATTTCGAGGTTCTTTGTGACACAAGACAACCTTCGACTTCGAGACTGTTCAAGTTTTATCCGAACACCATTCAGATACTAAGCTATGCAGCTTTGTTGTTACAATTTTTGGAAGTAGGTGATCTTCATTAGTCCAATTCTGATTTCCGACATCTTATATTTCATTCTGCCTGTGGTGCTGATCGTATGGGTGTCTGATACCAACCAATTTATAGTCCTTCATCTATGCTCCTATTCCCACTTAAACGCCGAAACATAAGTTACAACTTGCTCTTTTGAGCCTTGCTCTCCTCTCTAGCTGAAGATCCAGGAGAGTTCGCAGCACCACCAGTCTTCGAACCAGAATTTGCCTTGATACTAGCCATGCCCTGGTCTAGCATTTTTCCATCTCCACCACTTGGACTGCCACTTACAGTCTTCATTAGAGCTCTTCCGTTGCTCAAGCAAACCTTTCCACCTTCTACTTTGGTGACGAATCGAATTTCTTCCCATCCTTCCTTGATTTCTCCAGTTTTCCAGATCTCGATGATCAATTTATCGCCTGGTTTGACCGGAGATGCGAATCGGCATGAAAACTCTCTAATGTTTTTAGGATCACTACCACCAATAGCTTTCAAGAGCGCATGCGCGGTGAAGTTCCATGATGAAAGTCCATGCATTATGGGCCCTCCGAATCCCATCTTTTGCCCTGGCTCAGGTGTCGCGTGTAAAGGATTGTAATCACCATTCAATCTGCCAATTGTCATTTATTAGCCGGAGACTCCGAACGGCATTCCAAGACAGAATCATACCTATACAATAATGCACTCTCCTTTGTAGTTTGGTGTTCCATAACAGCATCAGGTTTCTTTCCTTCGGGTGGAGGGAAGTTCTGAGTCGCCGGACCCTTCGGTCCATTCCAATTACCCTGGCCAACAAAGAACGCACTGCCAACGGCCCTGGTATATACTTCTCCACTGTTCTTGTCTACAATCTCCTGTTGTGTTTCAACAACAGTGCCAGATTTTCCTTTATCATATACGCCGATAACTTTAGAGCGTAACTCGAAGGTTTTTCCAGCGGAGGTAGGTGGGAGTGGTTTGAGGAAAGTCATTGAACGTCCACCATCAAGCACGCGTCTGTAGTCAAATTTTGGCACACCGGGGATTGGGGTTGCGGCAGAGGCGGCATAGAAGTCAATTACTTCTTGGGTTGTAAGTTTGAATGCTTGGTCTATGTTAGCAGATTGATCAAGCGAAAGGGGGAGGAGGCTTACGGAGAAGAACAGGATATGTTGGAAAGACGGCAAAGTTGGGATGTAATTCCTGTGCCTTTGATTAAAATGTGCCGTTTCCAATTGAGTATCAAATACATACGAATAAGAAATGTAGCTCATCATTCGTACACCCAATGCTGTTAGCAAAGAGCAAAACATCTCTCTTCAACCAAGAAACCTCCTCTGCGGGATATTCGAAACCAGCTCCTGGACCAGACATCTTGATGATTATATGATATGATTTTACTATTATTTTTCAAATTTGAAGTGATTCCTGAAAATAGAGAATTGAATTGAGTTGAATTGAATTGAATTGAATTGAAAGATATGTGATGTGATGTGATGTGATGAGGAAGAAAGAGAGGATCACCATTGACCAAGAGCTTTGAGCTACCCCGGAATTCCATTCATAATCCCCACACTTCGGCCACTCTCACATGCCGAGGTATCTTCGGAGAAATGGTGAGCAACAATCTGGATTCAACTATTAGACTACCTAGGTGGATACATATTGCTGTTAGGATTCAAATGTTTATTTATAACTTTTCCTTCCTGACATTTAAATTTAGAATAGAGTTCGAAGCGCGTTCGCTGAAGATGGAGGAAAACATGAAATTGAAAGCATAGGTAGGGTCAGTACATAAGATAAAGTACACCCTCGGAGCAATTGTTGAACATCGAAGCATAATCAGTCATTGGATGAACAATCTGTGGAGGATTGGTTGAAGAGATGATCTTCTACTTATCAAACATCAAAGCAATCTGGCGGGAGAGGAGTAATTTAATATGTCAAATGGTCACTATGAACAATTTTGGCACATGATATCATGTCAAGATCTACTCAGGTTTACGCGATAGATTATTCTATCTAAGCCTTATTAAAACAAACCATTTTTTTTGTTAATATCGTCGTTGACGTAAGAACTGTTCTCTTAGCATGAGCTTCAGACCTCTCAAACCTGTCTTATCTGCGCCAGTAAGCAAAACCACAAACTCTAGAACCCAGGACATTTTCGGTCCATTCTCGCCCTGTAAATGTAACTCAGAATTCGAATACAAGGCAATTACGCCTAAGTATCGATCATTACCGCAATGAAAGCCCAAAAGAATCATTAGTTACGCCTTATTTCGCCCAATCTCAATCCCAAAGCAAAAGGACCCCGTTAGGTTTTGTGGTATCACCCACTTAACTAACCGGTAGGAGCTCCATTTTGCCCTTGCCATCAGCAATCCACTCAGGTTCAATGAGTTTCTCTCGATCCGCATACAAGTATTTATATGCCGTACGGATAGTTCCATCACTAACGCCAGCTACTTGGGATATCTCCTTTGCAGACTTTGGCTTTCCGAGGAGAGCTGATGCCATGTAGATACAAGCGGCTGCAACTGACAAAGGCGATCTACCAGCGAGATCACCGACGGTAGAAACCTTTTCAGCGAGGCCTTGGGATATCTTGACGAACTGTTGGCTCTTAAGACCAAGTTGACTGCAGTAACGAGTACAGAGATCTTTGGCATTGGTCGACGTCGTTGTCTGATAACCATCTGGGGCCGCAAGAGCTTGAAGGCAATGTTAATATATACCAGTATAAGATCTTCAGCTTATACAACTTACCACCAGTAGCATCAGCAGTCGCCTTCTTGGCCGAACTGTCTGAAGCAAAGAATTTCTCAAGTGCTTTGAAAGTTCTACCAATATCCTTCTTCGAAACCTTCGTCAAAGCGTAGATTTCACGGAAGGTTCTGGGAACACCGCACTGACGGCAAGCGATAAAGATACAGCCAGCAATGATGGCTTCTTGGGATTTACCTTTGAAGGCTTTGGCGTCATCGACAAGTTTGAAAAGGTGCTTCGCGGTATCCGAAACGTTCTTTGGAATGTTTACAGCATCACAGTGAGCGCCAATTTCCTTGTAGGCTGCGAGTAAAGCTTTTGTTGATTTGTCTGTGCCTTGTTTACCTTGGGCGCGGTAAAGCTCACGACTGCGTACGCTGCTGTCGCCAAAAGCGATTGTGGTCGAAAGTTGAGAACCGTTTAAGAGAGGATTAGCTGCGTCACCAACACGGGAAGGATCGTCATTTCCCTGGTCATCATTGGAGAATGTACGCCATTCAGAGCGAGTATCGACAATACGATCACCAATAACTACACCGCATGTATCGCAGACCAAATCTCCAGAAGAAAATTCTTCGACGAGATTAGGTGGAATCTCCTTACAGTCCTTGCACATAACTGTGACGTTCAGATTCTGACTCCATTCTAAATTCTTGTCCAACGGCGGTTGAGCCATCATCTTTGGTTTGTAAGGTTTTGGTCGATAAATATTATCAAGCTTGTCGAAGACTGGACGTCTCTTTAGCTTGCGGCGAACCTGTGTTCTTTTCTTCGTGACAGCTAGACGGGTTCTGATATCTCCTGTAGGTTTATCGCAAAGGATTGTAGTTGAAAGCTTGATGAAAAGCGGAGAATGCAGTTTGGCGGTATTGTGGGGAAATTAGGTTGAGTTAAAATATCAGGATGAGTACGACAACAGAGAAATTAGTCCCTTGATCTATGATTCAGACTCAGTTCTACGGTCGATGAAGATTCACCTACGGTCGACGAAGATTCGAGAACGACTGAGTGTGTGTTATATTGATGGTCGATTTGTAGAATAGATAGAAAGTGATTTGGTGAATATGAGTGTGGCGGTACTTGAAAGATTGATTTGTAAAAAAGAAACGACTGAGATGTAATTCGTTTTACAAGGTTAAGAAAGACTTTGTAAAGAGCTCGACTACCTAATTATGCGACGGTCGTCGACTTGAGCTTCGAGTCGAATGAATTAAATGTCGTTAAGGTAGAAGAATGTAGGGTGGGAGAGTGCGCTTGCTGCTTTCGTCGACGGGTCTGAAGATTTTCGCAGAACAAATGACCAATAAAGGCGTCCGTGAATGATGTATCAAAATCGTTGTTGGGAAGTTGTCAAAATTATCGTCGTAAAGATGACCGGCAACTTTGTGATTGTTCAAGAACGATAATGTCACAGTCTTCTAGTTGATGTGCGAGCGAGCGGTGGTGGTGGTTGTCGGGAAGGTTGTCGGTGAGGAAGAAGTAGGTAGAGAAGATTTCGTACAAAGACGAGGAATGCCAGCCGCATTCGAACTAGAATTTGTAATCCAATCACGTGAAAACATCTCACTCTTTTTTGGGTTACAGCCTTGAGCCGCGCCTTCTTTTGGTTGCCTTACAGTACTGTATTAAGTTGCTCGCTAATACGTCGCGCCGAAGCTCCAGGTCAGTTTGGAAGCTCTTCGATATTGAAACAACATTTGAAAGTCAATACATTTACCATTATTCCATCCCATCGCAGTTACCTCAAAACTTCACTTCATACGCCCTTTTCGAATCTTTCAAACACAACTTCAACTACAAAATGTCTACATTAGAAGATCTCGATGATCTCGAGAGAGAGCAAAAGGAAGAGAAGAAGGACGATGGCGACAAGGACAAGAAGCCAACCCAAACTAGTGATGCCGATGCTGAAATGAAAGATGCTGAACCTGAAAAGGAAGAGGACCCTATAGATGAGGAGATCTATAGCTTAGGTACACAAGATATTCTCACAAGGAAACGACTTTTAGAGAATGATTCTCGAATCATGAAGAGCGAGTTTCAACGTTTATCACATGAGAAGGCTGCAATGGGCGAGAAGATCAAGGACAACCTTGAAAAGATTGAAAATAACAGGTAGGTACAGCTATGATAATTGGCAGATTGTTACCACAGTTTAGCCAGTCCACTGACATTATGCAGACAACTACCATACCTTGTTGGAAACGTTGTTGAGTTACTCGATCTCGACCCAACAGCTGAATCTGCTGAGGAAGGCGCAAATATCGATCTCGATGCTACCAGAGTCGGAAAGTCTGCAGTTATTAAAACCTCCACTCGACAAACCATATTCCTTCCATTAATTGGTCTGGTGGACCCAGATGAGTTGAAGCCAGGTGATTTGATTGGTGTCAACAAGGATTCGTATCTCGTACTAGATACATTACCTGCGGAATATGATAGCAGAGTCAAGGCAATGGAAGTCGACGAGAAACCTACGGAAAAATACACAGATGTAGGAGGGTTGGACAAACAGATTGAGGAATTGGTCGAAGCAATTGTATGGCCAATGAAGGAAGCTGATCGTTTCAAGAAAATTGGTATCAAGGCGCCCAAAGGTTTGTTTCATATATTCTATGTGTATAACCAGTTGTGCTGACGTCTTCAGGTGCTCTTATGTATGGTCCTCCTGGTACTGGAAAAACACTCCTCGCGAGAGCTTGCGCCGCGCAAACAGATGCAACCTTCCTCAAACTCGCCGGTCCTCAACTCGTACAAATGTTCATTGGTGATGGTGCAAAGCTAGTACGAGATTGTTTTGCATTAGCTAAGGAAAAGGCACCAGCAATCATTTTCATCGACGAACTAGATGCTGTTGGTACAAAACGTTTCGATAGTGAGAAGAGCGGAGATCGTGAAGTACAAAGAACTATGTTGGAGCTACTGAATCAACTTGATGGATTCGCCTCAGATGATCGTATTAAGGTATTGGCAGCAACCAACAGAGTTGATGTTCTTGATCCTGCTTTGCTCCGTTCTGGTCGTCTCGATAGAAAGATTGAGTTCCCTCTACCAAACGAAGAAGCGCGTGCCCAAATTTTGAAGATTCACAGCCGTAAAATGACTGTTGATGATGCTGTTAACTGGCCCGAATTGGCACGAAGTACAGATGAGTTTGGTGGCGCCCAGTTGAAGGCGGTATGTGTGGAAGCTGGTATGATTGCACTTAGAATGGGAAAGAACAAGATCAGCCACGAACATTATGTCGATGCCATTGCGGAGGTCCAAGCTAAGAAGAAGGGTATGTTTCCAATGACTCTATTCCACTTTTTCTACATACTGACTCATTACAGACACTGTCAATTTCTACGCATAGTGTGACTCTTTGGCGGCGTTTGGCATAGCTTGCACGGCAAGACTAGTAATCATAGACAAATCATGACATTTTAAATATGACCAAACGGGTTTCCAGAAGACGCCGAGTATGCCTCGTGATTGATGAGAGCCGATGGTAATATATTAATGAAGAAGGTCAACAATGTATGTTCCAGCATATGACGAAATGAATGATCCTCTCTCATCTTTGATATATGTGAAAATGTAACTTCCAGCTTATCTTCCATCTAAAATGGACTTCCTGCATTGGAGTAGATTCCAAGTAGGTCTTTGCTATAAACAGGGAACAGGATATGCACAAGTGTGAGGGAGAAAAGTCCAAACCACATCGGAACACTGCATATGCCATTTGAAGAAGTTCGCGAATGTTGACGGTTATTTCATTTTTATCTAGGGCGTAGAGGAACGCCAACTTCATTCTGAAATCAGGTTTCATGCACTTCAGATGTTACCTTCATTTCTAGACTCTACTAGGTAGTTCCGTGATAACGGCATCAAAAGCTATAGTGAAGTTAACAATTTAAGAATTAATCTACCCAATTCCAGTCTCTCGAAGCCTCAAGATTACAGAATTCTCACACGCAACTTTTCTAACTGAATCTTGGCTGCTTGGAATAACCCTTCCTTTTTCAAAAGATCCTCCTACATGAGACTCAGCCCACAGCAGAAAATGACTGCACCTATATGCTTTTCTTCCGCGACTGGTTACAAGATGGACAAAAACTCCGGGGAATTTACAACAACGGACGGTATTTCTTGACAGATAGCATCATACTCTGCCTCGTCCGTCAATCCGTTGTATATGAGAGCGGCTTACCTGAATACTGTATATGAAGAATACATCTTGCTTGTAAACAGCTTCTTCGACGGATCTTAATACTCTGCAGTACGAATTATGTCTTGCTTTCTATAAACGATCTCTTCAGATCTTTCACAGACTTGAAATGATAAACTTTGAGATCTTTTCCCAAAAACTTCAAAACACTAGATTTGCTGGGTTCAAGAAGCATGTAGATACCGATCACTGTGCCTTTTTGGGAGAGGCTATTGGCACCCAAGTTTTGGATTGTGGGCGCGGAGGTGAGGCCATCGAAAGGAGATGAGGGTAGGCATTGTCTCAATGGTTTTGGTTGAAGATGGGTGTAAAGTTGACGCAGACATTATGATTGAGGTTCGAGATTCATAACCCTAATACAGAGAGCTATTCTTCGATGAATGAAAGTTGCCCTTTGAGGAATTTCGAGGCTGGTGATCTAATGATTATTTTGTTACAGGTGAAGCGGGGAAATGCCTGTTGCAGGCTGGGTCGTATCACATATGTACGTCGTCGTTCATTCTTGCGATGGCACTGAACGTTTGCGGAGGGAAGGAAAGAAAGAAAAGAAAGCAGTTCATGGTAAGGTAAATGTTTTGTTGGTGGCAGAAGAGAGATATGGAAAGACAAGAACAAAAAGGGGATCATTGTGATACAAGAATTCGTTTGTGAAAGAAAAATAATTAAAAAGTGATCTTGTTACCTGTGTTCTTCGCAGTGTTGGAGAAGAGGTAGAATAATTGAAGCTTGTGAGTCAGATGTGTTATTTATGGCATTGAGACCGTTATGATCAGAGCAAAGAGAATGGTAGGCAGCTGGAGACGTTTGCAAATGGGTCCAAAAGAGGTGTAGGAAACTCGTAACTGGTTTTCACAGTGGATGGGTAGATTCTAGCTTCATCTAAAGTAAAAGTCTGGAGAATGAATAGAGTTACTTGTGAGAGTTTGCTTACTATCGGGCTGGATGTGTAAAGTGTTGCACAGTCAAGTCACATAGTTAGGTAGCAGGCCGCTGGAAACCTGGGGCAGCTTTGTAGAAGCTCTTCGCCCATGTGGGTATTTGCCATATTATTGGACACCCGAATGAGGATTTGACTCCTGCTTCTGTTTATTTGTCAACTTCCTCATCATTCTGAAGTACGTAGTCTGTCAAATTACAAATGGCGTTTTCATCGTCAATCTTGTCGTCAACATAATCACACCTCAGGCTTCCTGCGCCCAGATCTATCGACAAAGAGTTCCGGTAACTCGCTGATACGTATCAGCCAATACAAGACCTTTCTCGGAACTTTATCTTTCTGTTCGTCAGTCCAATGACGATAATCGGAATGCCAAATCATGTAACTCCCCAAGAGACTATACACATTGTTGTCATCTGCAACCATAATTCCATCTGTACCACATGCGATGTTTAACGCAGTGACCATTTCGTCAACTTCAAATACAGGCTCAGATTCCACATGGTCCAGAAGACCGAATATGCGAAGAATGGCGATATCTTGGACCCGCGGAATCAAGAGGTAGTGAGCCAAAAACCAAATGTATGTAAGTGTAGGAAGATTTGGACATTCGCTCCTTTTATTATCAGATGTTGGTGTGTCGATTGAGGTGGTATTCATGTATTGAACAATATGACAAAATAACTTGGGACAGATATCTGGAAGCTCGATGATTTGACTATCTTCACTTGGGAAATTCAAAGACGAGTGAACTAAGCGATTATTAGCTTAGAAATTGAAGTGATCTCGTGAAGATGAAGGTGTCGTCATGGTTGCACGATGATCTGTAGGTAAATCTCTCTATGTTGTATGCAATTTGACAGTTGTGTTTGTTGGAGGATTTCGTCTGTGATAAAGGTCTGTGGGAAAAAACTGTACAGTTCCTGTCTCTTGGTATTCACTTCTAACCTATCAATATTAATTTATAGAGTGGAACTCGAATAAATAAGCTACCCTCTTTCAAGTTTATAGGAAATACATGGTATGAAGTAGCCATGAGTTGCTAGAAGAAGAATCAATGACAATGTGACCTTTGACCGGCGGAAAGTTGGATAAATTGTCATTTTCTAATTTCGATTGCAGTAGTAGGATACATTGTCAAGCCGGCTTCTTTTCAACGCGGCCCCATAACATCATTAAAACCAAAATCCCAGTTCAAATCGTGGAAATGATATCCTTCATCGATATCATCATGCACAAAATATTCACCCACAGTTCTCATAGTAGTCTCGAATATCTTCGAGTGGTTCATCTGTGAATTGCCTTTGCGCCGCACTACTCTCTCGAACCGTAAGCATTGCACCCTCAAGAACTGATTTTGGTATCATATCTTTCTGCTCTTATGTCCACCTATTGTAGGTAGAATTACAAGCGAGGAACTATTCGAGTACAAGCACTACCTGATTGATTTCTCCAACCATTGTTGATTCAGCCGTGACTGCGATTTGAACTGCATCGATAAACTCGTTGATAATGAGAGGGCTGCGGTCATAAAAACGTTCATCCCCATAATTATGAGCGGCGATGTGGCAATGAAGTCGGTATATATAATTGTTCGTGATATTTTGACAATATGGCATCATGAGAAAATCTGCAAGATACCAAATGTGCGCAAGGGTTGAAAGACTCAGACCAGCTTTGTAGCGTTGTTCTATGGAGGACAAGGAGCACTTGTTGCACGGAGAGAGTGATGTATCGAGGGCAGCCTGAGTTGGGATAATGATCGATCCAGTGTTCACGTAATGTACTATATGACCGAAAATATCAGGCTTGTCCCTTCAGAACTTGGAGATCTCGCAGAAGCCGAACCCACGCGAGCTAACATCTTCGTCGAAAAGCTTGCGAACTAGATGATAATCAGATCGAAAGGTCGATTACAAGAGAGAAGGGGAGCACTCAGCGCGTAGAGACATACAGCGTGGGGAAGGGTAGGCCAGGCGCACTCGTGAGACATGGTAAACTCTGTTGTTTGGTGCTTCTGGAGGTCCATTTCCAAAGCAGATGGAGACGCGATCGTCGCCTTTCCTGATTTGTGATCTTTAGATTAGTGAAAGCTTTACTAATCGAAAAAACATTGAACCATACGTGTAATCAAGAATCGGTCTTTTGGGCCAGTCAGGCGTTGGAGGCATTGTCTGCTCACTCATCGTCTTTTCCGAAGCTAAAGGATGAATTTACTGTTCTTCAATCAGCTTGGATCATGTTCCATCAAAGATTGTTGTGTTTGTTCTTAAAATTTCTTCGGTAACGGTGTGGTCAAAGAATTTCATAGGGGCCAGCTTTGGCTGTGCGTTTCGAACAGAAAATGAAATATCTACTCGGAGAATGTGAATCTCCACGTGCTTCCATCTACCACTTTTGACTTGATGGCGATTGGCTTGAAAAGATTCAATACAAAAAGAAAGTTTGATCGTTTCATAGGTTCGATGCTCGCTGGAAGATTCAACATGTCTAAATTGAGGGGAAAATAATTTCTTCTCAAAACTATATCCTGAACGATTGCTTTCTTTCTTGATATCTCACAGACATAGTGCCACCCAGCTATCTCATATCCTGCCTCAGAGACCTTCGCCATTATCTCATTTCTTTAGTATTTCTCCGGGCGCTGCTGGCATTATTGCACCTGCCTCTGGTACATTCTTGCTTTTGAAGTCATCCGACATCTGTTCAAATGTGACCCATTCGACTCCCTCATGTTTGTTGATATGATCAATGATTCTGTATTTTGTCAGTTGGTTGCCGGAATTATGATTCATAACAAGCCACAAGATCAGGACGTTTGGAAATGGCACACGTGCTGGATATCATAAAGAGAAGCCATTGCATACCTTTGTTGCATCTTCAAAACATGCGGTCTTCCTGAGACGTCTGGATGAATAGTCATAGGAAACACAAACTCATCATAATTCTCGTAAAAATAGTCGAAGTGATCTAGCCACATCTGTTCCACTACTTTCGGGTCCACCCATCCATGACTATTAGGTGATTTCTTGATGAACATCATGGGAGGTAGGTCATCAATGTACCATGAGGCTGGAATTTCAACCATACCAGATGGTACACCTTTGACAAGTGGTTTCATCCACTCCTCTGCTTTCTTACTATAATCAATCTTTGTCCAAGTATCTCCGAGTCTCAACCAATACATTTGACAATCATCATGGCTCATACTATGATCATACTCTATTCCGTAGCTCAACAAAAGTTCTGCTCCTTCTTTACTAGTCTCCCACCAAGGAGCCACGCTTCCCCTTGGCGGTTTACCGCAAAAATCTGTCAACAATCTATATGTTTTGTCAAGAACATCTCGCTGCTGTTCAAGTGTCATATCAACAGGGTTTTCGTGGGAGTAACCATGAAGCCCAATCTCATGTCCCGCATCACGGACCATTGCACATTCTTCGGGGAAGGTCTCGAGAGAATGACCCGGTATAAACCAGGTCGCCTTCATATTGTTCTTCTCAAAGAGTTTGAGAAGACGACGAACACCGAGTGTACCAGCGAATAATCCTGATTGTCGTAAGTTTAATGATAATCCAAGGGCCAAGAGAAGAATGAAAATGAGATCTTCAGTTGAAAATCAGAGCCTCCGTGCAACATCTGAATACTCTATCCTTGGAGTAAAGAGTTATATACTAGGAGTCTGATGCTGAGAAGAGGAATGTAGCATTGTTATTAATTTGAGTAACAAACCTCTACTGATGTCTGATGTCGAGTCTTCGCCACCATATGAACCTAACCATCCGGCTACGGCATCAATATCGACTCCATAGCCGCAGAGCGCGCGTTTCTTGACTTTCTTGTTCATTTCTGTGTTTGAGGAGGGAGGAGCAGAAGAAGAAGAAGACATGATCGAGTTCGGGAAAGTATATAGTAGGATGAGTAGATGAATATACACAACCAACGAGAGTTGCACTGCCTGCTGCTTTGTACTTCGTTGTTAATTACCTAGCACCTTGACCACGATGGAAGCCACTTTAGCATTCTGAAGTGTGGGGGAAAGCTTCAATTGCCGCCCTCATTAGGACCATTTTGATAAGAGCTCCAACGTTTCGATTAATAAGAGGAACTGATTTATTGCTAGGTATCTTATCCGAAAAGAGGAAGAAAATATCCGAAAGTCTGTCTCAACATCAAGTCACATGATCTGAAATTCCCGCGAGACAGCTCCATCGAGAAAGATGCCCCCTGTCAAATGCATGTGATTGTTTGGGTGCACTAAGTGGGCTTATGGACACCAGTAGGTACCCGGATTCTAATTTTGAACAAGAAGGTCCACGGGTAGGATCGCATCAAGGTACGAGCCAAAAGAAGATAGGACCAGCTTGCGTTAATAACATTCCCAAAGTTTCCTTGATCTGAACTCATAGTCAAAGCATCAGTACCTAGGTATTTTGAGTCAATGTTTTGTTTGCATTGATTGCCCACCTTGAAGCTTTAGAATCAATCATATTAGGCGCAACCCCAACAACTTTACTCTATCTACCAAGCTTACGACGTTGTTTGTTAACTGGCGTTGCAGGGACTGACACCCTGCGGTGCAGTTATATCTTTGAGGCAAATGAAAGTCGAATGAATGCAGCCCTTGAATCCTTTCCTGAGTGCTTTCTTCAAGAGTGCTCTGCCTACACAGTGTACGCCGGTACACCATCATGTAAGCTTGCCAACAATACTAGATTCCCAGCATCATCATCTGCAACGAGGGGCATTGGGCATGACGCTGATAGCTCTTTAGATATTATTAGTACCTACTACCGAAGTTCTCCTTACCTCCCGCGATCGAGAGACCGGCGCGCTTTACGCAGACCTTGCAGGATCGGAAGATTTCCTGGGCAGCCATGTCTTACGAGTACCGGCCAACCATGCTGCCACCGCGGGAGGGAAGGATGCGCCAAATATGCGGGAGAACCGAGGGAAGGCAAAACAATATACAACAGTTAATGGGAGGACTGTCGTGGTCAAAGATGCTTTTGTTTATAGTAATAAGGGTTGGTAGTGTGTCAATTCACTGGAGGATTAATACTAATACTCCTTACCGCAGGATTTAAAACTTTGAACCAAGCCCAACTTTTATCAGATACTCTATGGTACCCAGATTCGCTCGAACCGCGACAATGGCTTGTCTACTATATATCTAGACCTTTAGTCGGCATATTCGAGGAAATCAAAATCACAACTGCGATGCTAGCCACGAGGCTGCCAGATGGTAGACCGGTTATCCCAGCGAGGTCGTCCTCAATGCCTGATTCCGCTGCTATGAATGGACTTCCTCGTAAGAAGGATATAAAGAGTTTCAGTGACCTTTTGACGAATTTCCCTATGATCGCGAGACAAATGCAACCCGGCTTGGAGGCCCTATTTAAGGAATTTAATCAAGTATTTGAAAAGCAATTACCTCCTCCGCCATCAGCTGCGAATATTCCGGACCCTGTGCCAGATGGACCCATAGCTACAGCGATGAAGAAAGCCCGCTCTAGTAGTTTTTCGACTCCAGGCCAATCGAACGGGCATGTGCAACGTTACATCGTAGATTTTTATACCGAGGACGATGAAAATGTTATGCGGGGAGCTTTGGAGACCGCAGTCACGTCGGCGATTGACCTTTTCCAAATGGTCGACAAGCAGCAGCTTTCCCTTCTTGGAGCTACGACCGATCTTACGGGTCCAATCGTAGAACGTTTGATTGATCGTTATGTTACTGAGCAATTGCATGATACTATCTTATTCCCAAGACTATGTACAATCAAACGACCCGAGGACTTGGAATTGGAATCAAAAATCAGGCAGATGGAGTTTGTGGATATCTCACAGGTTGGTATACCAATTCAGGGTGGACATCAAGGAAAACATGAACTCACGTTACGACTTGGTCGTGCTGTCGAAGAATTTCGGAAATTGAATGGAGCAGGAAGCCCTCAGCAGATGATGGATATTCTACTTGTAACACTGAAAACAGTGACGCAGCTCATTGAAATTCCAACGAGCAAATGGGGCCCTCCTTCTCCCGAGAAAATAAGCTCCGTTTTGACTATCAATGCTGATACCCTCGTATCTTTACTATTGGTTGTGGTCATAAGGGCGCAGGTCAGGTATCTCCAGGCTCGTCTTTTATATATGCGTCACTTTATATTCGTCGATGATGTGGAAAGCGGTGAGATGGGATATGCGCTAAGCACGTTTGAAGCTGTCTTGTCATATCTTGCAAGAGATTCAGGAGGTCTGCGGAAAGCTAGCCGGCGAAACCATAAACTTTGGGCAGCTACGAAAAAAGGCAACTTAAAGGAGATGATGAAGATTATGGAGCCAGAACGAGAGCTTTCTTCTGACGAAGAAGAATCTGATCACGAAGAAGCCATCGTAGATGACATAATCGACGAGAACAGGCCCTGGGATACTTCGAATGGGCATGCCAGGCGAAGATCTTCTGGAGTTGCTACCCGACTTTCTCAAGCATCTACTCTTACTCACGTGTTTCCTTGGCAGTATTCACATGACGGTGCTGATGAAGAGCGATTACCACCATTGCGGAAACCCAAAACAGTTACTATGGATGTACGAAGCTTATCTAGCAGCTCCGAGATGTCTTTCAGATCACGGGCTACCACCATTGACTCGACAAGTAGCGGCATCGAAGGTGATACCTCAATAGAACGATTGTCGCAAACTGAAGATTCGTCTGGTGAGTCTGTTCTTATGATGGCCGTTCAGCATGAGAGACCGGAGTCACTTCAGTATCTTCTGTCGTTACAGTACTACTTCCCGCCACCGTCGGTCCTTGAAGACACGAACAATGAAGGAACAACTTTATTGAGTGCTGCTGTGCAGTTGGGGCATACCGAACTTATTAACATAATACTGGATTTTGTTTATCGAGCTTCATCTGAATTGATCGTCATTGGATACCTTTCGAGGCAGGATATCAACGGCAGGAGTGTGGCACATTTTTTATTCAATTACCCGGAGCTGATTTCAAGAGTCGGACGCTTACTGCCTTGGAGGCAGAAAGATAAAAATGGACAAACGCCACTTTTCGCTTTATGCAGATCATATGACCATGGCCGCTACAGACCTATGGTAGAGGCAGCACTTGCCGCTGCTACGACTTCCCAGGGAGACAACCAGCCTCTACATTTGGATGATCATGTTGACTTAAAAGGTAACACCTTGTTACATATCGTCAATGATCCTCAAATAGCATTACAACTTCTAACCCATTGTGATTCTGATGTTAATGCGACGAATGAGAAAAAATTTACGCCGCTCATGGTAGCTAGTAAATATGGTCGACTAGAAATGGTTCGAGCTCTATTTTCGGATCCAAGAGTAGACCTTTTTGCCAAGGAACTTCGTGGCTTGACAGCGGTGGAGCTTGCTAAGGATGACGACGTACGGAATAGAATTGATGATTTGATTTTGTTCTCAGGACTGCCAGCCACTGATGGAAGGATCACTGCTGTAGTCAGGTCATTCTTCGTTGAAGATGCAACTATTCGATTGGTACTTAAGTCTGGGGCACCATCGGGGCCTCAAAATTTCACTGTAACCACTTGTCGACGTTCATTGTCTGATTTTGAACACCTGGCAAAATTACTCGCTCTGGAAAATCCAGCGTCGTGGTTGCCATCTATATCAGGGATGAGATCGCCTTTCCAGTTCCCCTCAAGGCCTTCTAGGGCTGTCCTGAGAGATATACAGGTTCATCTCGACGCATTTTTGAAAATTCTGCTGGCACATACCACTTTCTCAACACACGAAATGCTATGGGAGTTCTTCTTGGTACCAGACATACAGGCAGAAATGATGGAGCAGAGGTCCAAATTGAAGGCTGAGGCAAGGGTGGAAACTGTACGGGAGGAATACCAGCCAATTGGTGATGTTCGCGATGTCGAGCAATTCGTAGATCACGCACGAGACATGGTCCGAAGTGTCAACTATTCTACCAAAAGTGTAGCACGCAGAGCTAATATGGTGGCAACTGTTACTATAGGTATGTTTTCCATAACACTTATGTACAATAGAGGACTAACATGAATAGATCTTTACGATGCTTATAAGCTGTCTACTCGCGCAATCTCAACCCTTACATTCATTCCTCAAACTCATATATTAGCTCTTGAAGCCTATACCCAAACACTTGCTCCATCCTCCACATCCCCATATTCCACTTTCCATACCACAATCCTTTCAATCCATAGCACCATAATTGCCATGCTACTATCTCTATCCCGTCCCACATCGCTCATATCATCAATTACTACATCCCGGAAATCAATAGAACGTTCATACAATTCCCTTTCCCGATCAACTCGCTGGCCACTGGGTCTCCTGGACGAAACTCGCCAACGGTTGAACGAAGAAAAAGAAGACAAAGTCCGGAAAACAAAAGAAGAAGTCGAGGAAACGGGAAGAGAACTAAGATATACGCAACAAGTTGTAGCAGCAGAACTAGCTGGTTGGCAAGAGCTACACGAGAAGATGGGGCGGAAAGCTGTGAAAGATTTGGCGCAGTCGATGCTTGTCAGAGAACGTACAACATTGGAGGGGCTGAGAAGAGCGGTCAGAAGGTTGAAAGTTGGAGAGAGAAGAGTTGTGGAGGTTGCAATGGAGGAGAGTGAGGATGAAGAGGAGGGTGGGGAGGTGGTAGCCAGTGGTAGCCATTTCGAGAGTGTCACTCTGTAGTTGCTGCATCGACTTGAAGCAGAATCGAAAGGTATTCTTTGCATGTGCAGAGATTGACGAATGGGAATGACTGAAATGAAATGGCACATTGTGTTTTGTTTTGGTTTGGATAGAGATCATGATCATGCCTGGCGATTGAGGCGTGGCATGAGTTGATATGATATTATACTG